AGGTTTTTATGGAGCAGTAATAACATTAAAAAATTAAATGTAAAAAAATTTAAAAAGATTTTTTTTTTTAATTTGAAATTTTTTATGAAAATCATCCCCCCACACGCAATTTAAAGTACAAAAAGTTTCATTTAGCTCCCTGTAACCAATCAATTATGGCAAATAAGCTTCTTTTAACCAATTTGGAACGGTTTTAAGACGGATTAACTCTCCGCTTACGCGTTAATAGCGCGAAATATATCGCGCGTTAATTGTCCCAAATTGGCCAAAATGGCAATCTTTAAACCCCCATAACTTTACAAAAAATGATCACAGGTGAAATATCTTTTCAAATTTGAGCTCAGGACACCAAAACTTTTTGAATTATACAAAAAAAAATTCCGTCAAAAATGGCTAGTTAAAAATTCAAAATTTGTCTGAAGAAAAAAAAACCCACCCGAGCACAAATATTCCGTTACTTTCGTATCGAACGTCGGAACAACAAGACTGCTCGTATCAGGGCGAAGCCCTGAATGTTCCGACTGCCTTTTAAGGTTCATGGAGCAGTAATAACATAAAAAATTTCAATGAAAAAAAACATAATGAAATCTTTTTTGTCTTCTAAAACTTGAAATTTTTTTATGAAAATCATCCCCCCACACGCCACATAAAGTACAAAAGGACAGATTTTGCTCCTTGTAACAAACCATTTATGGCAAATAAGCTTCTTTTAACCAATTTGAAACGATTTCTAAGACGGATTAACTCTCCGCTTACGCGTTAATAGCGCAAATTATATCGCGCGTTAATTGTCCCAAATTGGTCAAAATGGCAATCTTTAAACCCCCGTAACTTTACGAAAAATGATCACAGGTGAAATATATTTTCAATTTTGAGCTCAAGACAACAATACCTTTCGAATGATATAAAAAAAATCCGTCAAAAATGGCTAGTTAAAAAGTCGACATTTGTCTGAAGAAAAAAAAACCCACCCCGAGCACAAATATTCCGTTACTTTCGTATCAAAAGTCGGAACAAGTAGCCAAATACAAAAACGCAAGAAAATGCGACGAAAAAAAAATCACATTGATTATGACATCCAGGGATTTAGGTGGGGGAGCGTCTACCTCCCCCTCAGGAATTCGACCCCTCAGGGAATCGGCCCCCCCTTTGTACTATTTTTAGATGCCAATTTTGGCTGATGGACCCACAAATTTTCTAACGGCGCCTTAGGGGCCAATTTATACTAATTTTGAGTGGTGAGCGCGCGCCAAAAAAACGAGATTTTTATGAAACTTTTTGGTCCTAAAAACACCTTCTTTGGCCTGTTTTTGAATGTTTTAATTTTTATGAAATAAAACATAAAACAATGAATGTTTTATGAAAAACCAGAATTGAATTTTTTGATTCATATGGATACATAAACTTTTATCTTTAAAACAAACAGGCATTGAATTTCAACCAATGCATTTTTAAGTAGCAGCATTCTGACCATACCAAAAAATGTTTCTGATAACTTCATGTTTAATCCCAAACCTTGAATAGAGTAGCAATTATGCAAATGCAGGCTGTCTGTGAAAATCTTTGCTTCGAAAAAATTCTTTTTTACTGTGATTGAGAAAAATCAGAAATTCAAATTAAACAACTTTTAAAAACTCTTAGGGAGAAATGCGGGTCATACAGTTTCGGCAAAACAGCTTGTATATAGAAGAACGCTAATCATATAAATTCTATGTTTGGGGAAAAGCTAGTCATAGAACTTTTATGCAATGCTTTAAATGTATGAAAAATGTACGCCTCTTTTGTTCCGAAGCAGCTGATCAAGTTATATTTTGGCTCTGTCGAGCAAAGTGGGTGAAGTGGGTGGGTGCATGTAGCAGGTGTATAGATTGCGGTTTTAGAAACGCAATTAAGACGTGTTGATTATATATCTGAACTCCTTACGTTTACTTGATAGCAGGGGCGGATTTAGGGGGGAAGGGGCGGGGGGGGGCGGACGCCCCCCCCCCCCCCCCCTCAGGGATTTGACCCCCTGCCGACTCAAAGGGTCCCCCCTTTGATACTTTTTCAGAAATCCATTTTTGGCCGACCGACCCTAAAATTTTTCTAAAGGCGCCAATAAATGCTATTTTTGGGGGGAGCGCGCGCCAAAAAAACGCATTTTTTTTTGTCAAAATTTTTCAAAAAGTGCCCAAAAACGGCTTTTTTGACTGTTTTTTCAAAAATTTGCCTGCGGCGCAGAAAATTTTGCCTAAATAAGGGCAAAACAGTGCTTTAGGAGAGCGCGAAAAATAAAAATCAATTTGGTCGACCTAAAAAAAAAAAAAACGTCGTCAAAATTTTGGAAAATTTTTGAAAATCCGCCCCCCCCTCGAGAAAATCCTAGATCCGCCCCTGCTTGATAGCCTATATGTTTTTGAGATAAGATACAAGTTTATAGACAGATGACCTGCTTAGGTCAATCAAACGGGCAATCTAGAACACGAAAGTTGTACTCAAAACAGGCTTTCTATGGAATAAAAAATAGGGCACAACTTAAAAATCTATCCAAAAACGAAGCCGAAATAGATTTACAAGTGCCGAAAAGCAAGGCTTGGTATAAGATTACAAAAATTAAGAAAACAGCTTTTTGAGGGTACTCAATTGGTTTTGCAAAACAATTGATGAGAAGTTTAATTGATAATTGTTAAATTTTCAATTGAAGAAAATTGTTTTTTTTTTCAAAAAAAAACTTTCTCCAATGTTTTTCTCTTGAAACTTTAGTTTTAGTTAAAATATGTTAAATGGCCTTTAAAATTTTTGAAACATTGACTATCAAATGAAAGTGTTTGTTACTGACAAAAAAAATTATTATAGAAAAAACACTACGCATTCGTTTTCTGTATTTCAAAAACGTAATCGTAATATTTCCATTGCCGAACGGTGTTCAAACGGTATGACTGAGTTTTTAGTGCATGATATGGTTTTCTGTGGTTTTGGTCGAAACGTAGTACGCTTGAGTCGATGGAGTCTGTTATATTTTTGGCTGGGTCAAATCAGCCAAAAATAGCACGCCCATGTCGATGAAACTCGAATATTTTTTTTATTCCATTGACTCCGTCAAAATCAAGGCGAGTCAGTCAAAATCAGGGTCGAGTCAATCAAAATCTTAAAATTTTTGGGTCAAACCTTATATCTATGAATAAGTTTGCAAACGTTTAAGAGATATGTTGCTTTCTTCAGGTAAATTTATCGCAGTTACTCCACTCAGTAAAAGGTATGTTGAACTAAATTTTTCAAAGTTTTAGAAACTCTTTCAAAAAACAATTGTTAAACTTAACTTTTTTTTAAAATATCGCTCTTTTTGATTTCTACGCATAAATATTTTGATCCAATTTTCATATTTAATCTTTTGTTTCTTTTCAATTTTGTTAATTTTTCATTGCATTTCTCACTTTTCAATCAAAAGTTTCAACGCCCTGAGAAAATATTTTCACCTGATTTTTGATTAATGGTAGTAGTTTTCAGTTGTTGTTTTGTTCCAATCATTGAAAATGGGGAGAAACTTTATCTTCGAGCGTATTTTATTTTGTCCACGCAAAATCAAGTACCACAAATAATCATTGGAATGGGTCGAGTGATATATCTCGTTCAAACCCTTTCAACCGTTTCAACCGTAATGTAAACGGTTTTTTAAAAAATTTTCAAAAACTTGTTCAGTGTCGAGAAACACCGATCAGTGTCGAGAAACACCGGGAGTTTCAGTCGAAATTCGAGCGATTAAAACGACCGAGGTTCAAAATTTCAAAAGGTTTTAAGACTGTTGTGCAAAAAAATTGAAAAAAGATCCTTAGAATATTTTTTTGAAACTTTTTTCTATTTTTTCGTTTGTTATTCTCTTTCGAAGACACTTGTGCTAATTCGTTAAATTATTACGCATTCTGATCACATCACATCACGCGCAAAAAACGAAACAAGCGCTTTTTTTCGAAATTTTTTAAAATTAATGTGGTTGAAACATTGTATGCTACTTTAACTGGCTAACCTTGTTTTTCTATGTTATTGCTCTTACAAAATTAAATCTTAAAAAACCAACGCTAGTCAATTTTGTACGCATTGTAAGCAGCGTAAGCGAAACTCGGATGCAGTGTCAAACTTTAGCTCCAAAACATATCGAGTGCAAATTTTTGTTCCTAGTAATTTCCAGCTTGATGCTGAACTGAAATATAATCTCTAGCTTGATTAATATCACAAATTGAACGAGAAAAAATTGTGATGTTTTCTTTGCAAGCAAGCAAAAATGAGTTGGTTCTAAAAGGTGACAACCCTTTATGTAGTTAGAGTCTCGAACCTCTGACAGGGCGCACTCTGCGTATCAAACCACCCCAAAATCAGATACTGTTCTGCCCAAGATAGGATCTGCATTAAAGACTCATCATGAAATTCCTCACGCTTGTCAAAAACTTTAATCTTGACAATTCTTGGTTTACTTAGTTTTATGAGATCTTTTATGGATTTCTTTAGCAGGCCTTCTGCACTATTCCATAAGATAATAAAGACTAAAATTTTGGATTTTATTTTCTATATTTTCTTTGGTGGACTTGAATAGTAAACGTTTGGTGTACTCAAAACAATTGAGTTTAGTTTTCACATTATATATTTTGATGAAAACACATTGATAGGAAACTCCTCTTCCGTGTCATTTGTTTAAAGTGTGCTATGCAATTTTGAAAGAATAGGATTAACTTTTTTGCGGGCGTCAGATTGATCTGATCGCATCAATCGGAGATTTAGGGCTAATTGAGGGAATAAATTGGAATACTGGCTGGGAGCAGGGCTCAAATCCCCAATATATTTGTAGTGTTGACTCCGCCACAGTCAAGAGGCATCAACTCTAAAGCCGATGAAATAAATTCTGCCCCAAAATCTAATCCCTCTTCCCGCGCCCTTTAAATTCTACAATTCTAATATCCCCCTCTATCGAGCTGTGTCAGGTAAATAAAAACGGAATTGGAAAATAGCAGGAAAAGTATTGGAAATACGGCAACAGGAACAGGGCTGAAGGATGATGATAGGTGAAAAGGGCGAGAGATGGAGAGCTCTGATTGGATGATTGTAGAACAGGGGATTTTGAGAAGGAAAAAGAGCAAAAAAGAGGTAAAATCCGGCGGGAGCTTCTACTTTCCACTTTCATTCTCGATTTTGTCCCAATTGGGTCGTACAAAGTTCGATTCACTCGCAGACCCAAGAGATCGCCTTAATACTTTGTTCAGCGCCGGTGAGCCAAACTCGCCCCTTATTACCCGCGTATTGATATTGGAGCTGCACACACAAAGCGAAGCAGAATAAGTTAAAATCCCCAATGTTCAGTCTTCAAGATCCATTCCCGAAGGGCAATGCCAATAATATAACCAACAACTGCGGCGGTATCAGTGCTAGCAGCAGCGCCAACCATACCTCCTCCTCCTCCATCGCCAACTCAGCCATCGCCACCCTCCCAAATCTAACCCCTTCATCCATCATACCCAACAACACAAATCTCCTCATCAATTCATCATCCCCCACCTCAACCTCATCATCATCAACGCCCCTAACCACTCCCAACCAACTAAACATACACTCCACAAATAACAACAACATTAACAACAACCACATAAACAATAATCACCTCAATATTATACACAATTCATCTGCGGCCGAAAACGCAGTGAACGCCTTGAAGCAACTTCATCAACACGGAGTCACAAACGACCTTGAAGAACACAAAGTGCATCCCGGAATCATTGCCGCCTCGTCGCTACATCACCAGTTGCAGCAACAGCACCACAACTTATCCCAATCTTCGCCAATTATTTTCCCGAATGTCAACACCTCTCCCGTTTCTGACTCCAGAATTCACTCATCGCATCACATGCAGACTTCGAACTGGGTTCAGAATCACGTGACCGCGGCTGCGGCAGTGCTGGCTTCGGCGACATCGGGAGGAGCGAATGGGTCGCCGGGTGCGATTGGAAACGGTTCCTCTGGTATTCAGCCGCACAACACACCTGGCAACTTGGCTGCCGCTGCGGCTAAACTGGAGACGGCAGCTGCTGTATTGAGTGCTGCAACTGCGACAAAGTAAGACAGCGCGTTTTTGGATTTTTAACATACCAAAAAAATTTTATGGAAAATTAGTCAAGTAGAAGTTGAATATTAAAAAATATTCGAAATTCAAAAATTTCACGGAAACTGTTTTTGTGGGATAAGTTAAAAATTGCATCGACTCAGATAAAACGTGTCTTCTTAAATTTCCAATCCCATGGGCAATATTCTCAAATTTTTCAAAAAAAAATGAAACTTCTGAAATTTTTTCAAATTTGCTAGCCAATTATTTTTTTTTAAATCTATATCATTTTCGGCTCAAACTATTTTCAATATTCCTATCAAAAAATTTATCCTCAGTTTTCACAACTAGAAAAAATAACATTACTGATTTGGCCCGCTTGGTCATGTCATGAAACACTCCATATCGAAGTGTAAATCATGGCCAACTTTTTCGTAGCTTGTCGATTGGCAGTTGAATTACTAAAAAAAAATTTGAGTTACAACACCTAAAGCTTGTTCAGCGCCTCTGTGGCTACGATCGGCCTGGCCCGAGCTCACTTCGAGAAACAGCCTCCGAACAACCTGAGGAAGAGCAACTTCTTCCACTTCGTGGTGGCCCTCTACGACCGCACGGGACAGCCGGTGGAGATAGAGCGGACTGCGTTTGTGGACTTCATCGAGAACGAGGCTCTGCAGGGGGTGAACGGGGCGGGAGGGGAGGGGGAGGACAAGAGTAATAATGGCATACACTACAGGGTTCAAGTCCTATACAATAACGGTAAGTCCAAATTCCAGCAACCCTACATGACGTTGAAATAGGACAAAACTTCAAGTATCACTTTCGGATTTTTAAGGGTTTCTTGTCACACTGCGATTTGACTTGGTTGAACCTTTAGATAATTTGAAAAAAACTCAATTTTTTTTAAATCTTTCATGATTCTTGTGAATAAAACGCTTGCAGTAACAACAACTCGCAGTTGAAAACTTAATTTTGAAGTTTACAGCTGGTTTACAAAAAAAACTAAAATTATTCCTTATACCTTGTTTATTTTTTTTCTGAAAAAAAATTCTATTTACATGATGAAAAAAATTAATGACCGTGAAACTTAATCTTTCATTAAATAATTTTCTTAAATAAAATTTGAGTGCGGAAGATTCTGGGCTACTTGCTGTGCAATCGTACAGTATTGTATTTTTGTTTTGATCGCTGGCTGCTATCATAGCTTAAGGTAACACTTTTTTTGTACTTACAGAATGAAAAGTTTCAGAGTAAAACTACATTTGAACTTTTTCAAGTTTTAATTGAACTTATTAGATGATGGAGTTCTGTTTTCAGGTATCAGACAAGAACAAGACATTTACATTCGGCTTATTGACTCAGTCACCAAACAGCCCATCTGGTACGAAGGTCAGGACAAAAACCCTGAGATGTGCAGGGTACTACTCACACACGAGGTCATGTGCAGGTAACCGAAACTTACTTTAACCGAAAATGGCTTATTTTCTTTTTACCTTTCATTCAAAGGCTTTAATTTTTCGTATTCATGACGTTCTTAACAACCCGTTATGCCCGAAAAATTTAATGCACGATATCTGAAATATAGCAGAATTCCATTTTCCATTTCTTTATGGGCGATTTTCCGCTTGGAATAATTAGATTAGGCTAAAAGCTCTCAATTTAGCCGGAGCAGATTAAGCGTGAAATGATATCCCGGCCGGCCGGGTTTGGAAACAGACGCTCAGATGGGTCTCTGATTTTGCATGTTGAGTTCAGATATGCGTTATGCTGATAAGCTAACAGCAGTGATCAGCTTAATAGCGTAGGCACAGATTTTTCAGATTTTTAAATGGCATTGAAACAGAAGTTCGAAAGTTCGAGTATCCATTCTACATGCATGACCCGATTGTAGAACTTTTTATTTTCTGTAAACCTGCAAAAAGTGCCTGATTTTTGTCTAATTAAAAAACTTCAAAATTGTGAGAAAATTAGATCACGTTTTAAGGCATCTGAAAGCATAACTGTGATTGATCTGTTTCAGTCGTTGTTGTGACAAGAAGAGTTGTGGCAACAGAAACGAAACACCAAGTGACCCAGTTATCATCGACAGGTCAGTAGAGCTCTAAAAATATATAAAAAAAATTTTGCTGCTTGCTGTTGGTCATAATGATCAACCGTCTCAATTTTCCACTATCATTATTTTGAACCGTATGTCAGAAAAAAAATTGGTCTACCCTGCGTTAGAAAGTCGACATTTAGAGAGGCGTGCCTAAACAAAGGGGTTATCAACTTTTAATAAAAACGAGGGTAGCTTGTTGCTGTGCAGTGCAAGTAACATAGACCAATCCGACCTGATAAATCTTTCGGTATTCTTCATAATTACACAAAAAGATCGAATTGGTAATTAGTTGAAAATATTTTCAATTTTCAGCTGAGCTTGTAAAAAGAACACTAAACCACGTAGGGAGAACAAACCGTAAAATAAACTACCGAAAAAATAAGTCCGAATACCAAAAAATGCACTCCAGCTTTTCTCGATACTTGGTCAACTTAATCAAAACTTTTGAAACCCAAATAATGACCGAAACTGCTATAATAGGATGCCACACTCGCTCTATACCATGTGAGGTTTTTTGGATAATGTAACCTCCACGTGCAGCACTCAACTTTCAGTTTACATAGGGAGGATTTTTTTGTTTTAATCTCCAAAAACCAAAAAACTAAATTACAGTCATTATTATGTGCCTTTCAATGATTTTATTTGTTTTTTTTTTCATTCAGATTTCATTGCGCATAGAAAACAAACATAAATAAATGCTCAACAGGCTACATCAAAACACTCAACCATAGATTTGGATAATGGCCAAAATGTACTGGGGCTAAAATAGACAACAGACAATGAAAAATCCTTTGTACTTTTGTTGCAATCTGTTTCGGTATAGTGTAACAGGAAAGTTAAGGAGGGGTGTGAATGATGAAGTCTGGTGATGATGATGACCCGTAATTTTCCCAACTGCTCCCCTGACATTCGCGCGATTAGTACAATTACTCTTGCTCTGCTCTGTCGCCACAGTAATAACTTCCATAAATTAAAAAAAAAACTACAAAGTTATGGCCATTCCGAGTTGAAAAGCAAATGGTGAAAAAAGCAGAGAAAAGCAGACTTTTAATGATCAGAGACACATGAAAAATTCGGCTTTTGATGCAAAAAGTCAAAGTTTTGCGGAATATCAACTTTGATTCAAAATTTCAGCTCTCAATTTTATTCTGCGAGTAGTTTAGTTTCACAAAAATAAATCTCATAAGTTCTAACCGCAATTTAATCAATTTTTTTATCCTTTTTTGGCTGCTATATTTTTTTAAACATATTTTGGGTTTTTTTTGGCTGTTACTTCAATGAAAATTTTATGTTACTTGATGCAAAACTCTGTTTGTAGACATTTTCTTAAATATTTATGGCGTCATATTTTGAGGCGTTCCAGGTTCCTCGCGTCTTTCCCTTTCAACGATTGCTATTTTTGAAACAAAAGTTAAATTAATTTTTTTTCGCAAAAGATTAAGTGGATGAGTTTTAATTGATTGGGCACTTGGAAAATCGATTCAGTTTGTGGAATTAATATTACAAACAGAAGTGGATTAAAAGTTGTTTGTGTGGTGAAAACAGAACAATTTGCACTGTCAACACTCCAGCCATTTCGGCTCCCCTCTTGTTGAATTTTTTCAGAGGAATTTAATCTGCAAAGTGGTTCCAATTGGACCCAAAAAGCCAACCGCACATTCCTGGGCATTTATCCAAATTTACCCAAAAGTTAATAATTCACTTTAACTCAATTGTCTATAGGTACTCGTTCATAATACATCCGCAGCATTTTTCGTCAAAAGACTTGAAAATTTTAGTTTTATAGTGCATGTAAATATGAATAATAAATTAGGTTTTTTCTGAATAGTTCTTCCTATGCCTTAGAGTTTTCCTTTCCCTGATTTTAAAATTAAAAGTAAATTCTGGTGAAAGGCATAAAGAACAAACAAGACTGCTCGTATCAGTGCGAAGCCCTGAATGTTTCGACTGCCTTTTAAGGTCAATGGAGCAATAATAACATGAAAAAATTAAATAAAAAAATTGATTTTTTTTATTTGAGATTTTTTGTGAAAATCATACCCCCGCACGCCATATAAAGTAAAAAGTGATAGATTTTGCTCGAATCTCAACTAGAAGGGTTTCATTATCATGTATCACTCACATTTCACCCCTCTTAAAATTAGTGGCTGATTTTGCCCCATAATTTAACACATTTCGTTATTACATAACTTATTGCTCAGTTATTTAATCGCCGCTTTCTTAGTGGACGATTTGCGGGGCAAAATGTGTGAATACCCACTCAAATTTATGTAATTATTTATTGATTTTCCGTAGATAAAAAACCATAATACGAACGTCCTTCTACAAATTCGATTATCGGAACAACGAATTTTCGAAAAAAAAACAAGAAATATTTTTCTGGGAAACTTTTCTGTAAATTTTGGAACTAATTTTCCGGTTGCTCTTTTAGCTTATCATGCTTTTAGTCCATTAAGCAGTAAAGTTAATATTTATGATAACTCCATGGCCTGCCCCCGGTCTCAGGTGGGGGAATTTGCCCTGCCGGCGGCGGGCTCTCAAATCAACTCGAGATAAATAACTCAACCTGATGATTAATTTTGCGGCTGTTAATCAAAACAACAAATTATCTGACGTAAAACATCAGCCAGCACGATTACGTAATCTAAATCGACCAGAAATCAACCCAGAATTTTGACTTTTAAGTGAGCAACTGAAGTTACCCCATCCAATATTACCCAATTGTTTTTTCAAGAACGGTCTTGCTGGGGTATTATAAAAAATTTGAAAATGAATTTGAATTTCAATCGCGTTAAGTACATAAGGCTGTGATAAGGTCGACATTTTTGGTTATTCAAAAATTGGCTGTTAAGAAAAGCGTGATCGAATTGTTGGCTCGGGGCAATTGATCCCAGCTAGAAATGAACTGTCACATTCCATTACTGGTTGGGGATCGTCTGAATGTAGGGGTGTGGGTCTAATCTAAGCGAACGGGACAGCTAATTTAGACTACAGTCTACAATTGCATTTCGGAGCAATTCAGTCTTATACCGACCCAATCTAGCGCCCTTGGCTGCTGTTTAAATCACTAATTTTTATAACTATACTTATAACCAGAAAACTAACCGGTTATATATCTCAATAGAGGGTTGTGGTTAAGTGTTAATTTACTAAAAAAGTTCGTAAGACTGCCGAATATTGTTGTTAGGGGAATGCGATTTGGGTTTAATGGGGGATTGGCAGAAACTGATGAAAATAACACCCGGTCCCAGAAGACTTTTCACTTTTCACAAGACAAGATTGACATGAAAAATTATAATTCAGTCAATTCGCAAGGGGCTCTTGAGAAATAGATTCTTTTTCAGCAAGAACAACAAAACGGAACGCAATTTTAAATTTCGCCCACTTTTAATCAAAACGAGCCCGAAGCCCCGTTTAATCTTATTTTAATTATTTTTGACAGTTTTTCTTCAGGTGAGCATCAGAAAAATGACACCCAATCAGCAAATAAGTCTTTGTGAGGCAACAAATGCCGAGGAGCGAAACATAAAGGATTTTGTTTTTAATTTTCACGGGCGAATTTTTGAATGCAGCCCAATCATTGATTAAACCAGACGTTGATTACATTCGAGCAAGTGGTACAGTTCAATATTGTTTTTTTGATTGTTTGCTGCAAAATTCATCAATTTCATATCAATGTAAGAAATTAGTCTTTCAAACTAACGCTAGGCGAACAACTATAATTCGCAAACAAAAATTAAGAAATTTGTTTTCAGTGAAAATCGAAAAAAAAAAACGTTTTCAAAATATAAACTATTTGCAAATGCAAGACGGCTCAAAGGCAAAATCGTACATTAAAACTCAAATTTGCTCCTTCTTTATGGGCAAATCATTCGGATGTTTTTGTTTTTAATGGAAACCTTTCATTGTCAAATAATTTGGGGTTTAAAAGCGAATGAAAAGTAACTTTGTTTTTGTTGGGTTAAGAAGGGAAGAAAGAGGGTAACTTCGGGGAGTAGCTACTCAAGTGTTTAATGGGGAGATAGCTGTTTTATATTACATAGTCAGTGGAGCCTGGCTTCTTCCCCGGGTTTGCTGCATTTAGAGTAGGTGGCAAAGAGGGGTTAGGGCCTTATTATGCGCAATAACCTGTGAACGTAATTAACTTTCAAGCCCCCATTCATAAACTCATAAACTTCTACTCTCACTCATCGATCCAAACATCTCATTTTCATCAAGTCATCCTCACATAAATATGCACAAAAAATCAATTTTTCACCTATTTTGTCAGAGACTCGTTGGGACGCGTTTTTGAGACTAGTTTTTTCGGATCTCTTTTTCTATTTCCCCCTATTCTTGGAGAGTTTAATCATTTCCCCTGCTTGAAGAGAAAAGTTGGAAATAAATACTGTATACAATGGAGAATAAAAAAAAATCGTAAAGAATAAAAAATCTATTAAAAATTAAATCAATGGTTAAGCACAAAAAATCATACTGAACCATTATTTTAGTTTTTATTCTTTGCTAGGTGCCATAGGAGAGAAAATAGTTCAGATATTCGTTTATTTTTCCATTGACTTTATAACCTATTTTGAAATTTGTTCCGACACGTTTTTCAACAAGATTGTTGTTCCGACCGAAAAATTTGCTTAAGTTGAAGACTCATTCAGTTTGAGTCCAAAAATTTGAACTTGAATGCAGTAGTGCGTGCTGTTATCATTCCGATTCCAATTAAAATATTATGTTAATTAATTGACATAGGGGAGAATGGTATAGGATAGATTGGAATAGGGTACATTGCCCTGCTACCGAATAAAATAATTCCAAATGGAATTGAGACATCTCAATTTTACCAAATGCTTCATGCACTTGACATCGCATATGAGGGGAAAATCTTATGGGGGATTTAGTCCTGGGAGATTATATCTGTTGGGATTTTATCCCGGGGGATTTTATCCTGGTGAGTTTTATCCTGGGGGTTTTTTCCGCGAGCGCATCATTTGATATGTATATTTTTCTTTCTAGCAGCTTTGTTAACATATTGTTTTTGTGAAAAAAGATTAATTAGTTATGAAAGCTTTAAACAAGACTGCTCGTATCAGGGCGAAGCCCTGAATGTTCCGACTGCCTTTTAAGGTTTATTGAGCAGCAGTAATACATGAAAAAAATTAAATGAAATAAAATAAATTGAAATTTTTTTTTTTAAATTTGAAATTTTAAGAAAATCATCCCCCCACACGCCAAATAAACTACAAAAAGATAGATTTCGTTCCTTGTAACAAATCAATTATGGCAAATAAACTTCTTTTAACCAATTTGGAACGATTTCTAAGACGGATTAACTCTCCGCTTACCGTTAATAGCGCGAAATATCGGGCGTTAAATGTCCCAAATTGGCCAAAATTGCTATCTTTAAACCAAAATTGCTATCCAAAATCTCGCTTACGCGTTAATAGCGCGAATTATATTGCGCGTTTAATTGTCCCAAATTGGTCAAAATGGCCAAAATGGCAATCTTTAAACCCTCATAGCTTTACGAAAAATGATCACAGGTGAAATATTTTTTCAAATTTAAGCTCAGGACAACAATACCTTTTGAATGATATAAAAAAATTCGAAAGTCGGAACAACAAGTCATTACGATAACCATTAGCTAAAAAAGATAAATTTATCCCAACAGACTTGCAAGGGCAGAATAGGTTCTGGTACTAGTTGTTCCGACTTTCGTAACGAAAGTAACTGAATATTTGTGCCTGTTTTAACGAATTTTTTTTATCATTCAAAAAGTATTGTTGTCTTGACCTTAAATTTGGAAAGAGATTTCACCGTGATCATTTTTCGTAAAGTTTAGTTGGTTTAAAGATTGCCATTTTGGCCAATTTGAGACAATTAACGCGCGATATATTTCGCGCTATTAACGCGTTAGCGAAGATCTAATCCGTCTTAGAAATTGTTCCGAATTGGTTGAACGAAGCTTATTTGCCATAATTTTTTGTTCCGATTTTCGAAGAAAACGGAATATTTATGCTCTGTGTGTTTTTTAATCAGTCAATTTTCGCCGATTGAAATAATTGTTTTCAACTAAGTTTTTTTATACCTCATTGAAGATATCGACTTCCTGAATTCAAACTTTAAAAAAACTTTTTTGTAAAGTTTTGGAGGTTTGAAAAATGCCAAATTGGCCATTTTCTGGAGTAATTTATGCGCGCTTTGAAGAGTATTCATAATGCTGAGAAGGTAACGCGAATTATTTATGCGAGACAAGTTATCCCGCACAACAAAATTGTTCCAAATTGAATGGAGGTCGCATTTATTTTGTACGACTCAAAATTTTGCCCAAAATTTACCGACTTTCAATACTTTCTTTTCTCAAAAATTTTTCGATATGAATTAAAGGACAGTCGGAACAGTCAGGGCTTTGCCCTGATATACGAGCAGTCTTGTTTGTTGCTAGGAGCAAAATCTATGTCATTGTATTTTATATTGCGTGTGGGGGAATGATTTTCATAAAAAATCTCAAACTTAAAAAACAAATTTAGTTTTATTTTGTTACATTAAATTTTTTCAGTTATTATTGATCCATAGACCTTAAAAGGCAGTCGGAAACTTCAGGGCTTCGCCCTGATATGAGTAAATTTGTTCTGCTTGACTACTTCTTGACAGGTAAAAACAATCATAACGCATTTTATTCGCAAGACAAGGGTCACTGTCAAGGATTTTATACCATGCGACACCACAAAATGAAACGACTTGATATTGATTTTTCAAACCGACTGACATAAACTGTCGTTTTTTTTCAGTGAGATCAAAATAGAGTTGAGAACATTTCGATACATATTAGTGGAAAATGTTTTCAAAATTGCAGCACTAAATTCGCTTTTGTTTTGATTTTTGAGTTGATTAAGAGCTCTCGTATCATTCTGACTCTAGACGGGGGCTAAAATTGAATTATTCCGTCGCATAATAGCACAAACATTAGAAATTCAATTGAATTAACCCATCAGAAGAGCCTTGTTTGTTTGTTTGGAAGAATCATTTAAGAAGTCTTTTCCCTGCAGGCCCAAAAGTCAACTGTTTGCGTGCTGAGAGATGAGAGTGGAATTCGTAATGAGTGGATATTATTCAGAAAAACTACACCAGTTGATTTAATAAGGAGGCATTGAATGAAATTTGCGCTGCTCAAGGGACCCCAATTAGCACTTGAACCTCTTAATAGAACGGCATGTTAAATTATCAGAAAAATGAAAAAATAAAAAAATGGAAAAAAGACTAAAATAGCGGTTATTCGTTTTTTTTTTCAAAAAAAAACAAAACAAACTTTCAAAAGAAAATCACAGAAATTTTGATGAATAAAGCAGGCATAAATTTCAATGGGATTTGAAATGCATTGTCTAATGATCTCTAGAGAGATATAATAGCCTTTTGTGCATTTGAGAATTCTCCATTCAAAAGGCACTCGGTAATGAAAACAAGTCGTTTTGATACTTTCAAAGTACATGTCACAAATAGCTTTTAATATTTCAGTAATTAACCTTGCAATTAATTTCGGTGGAAACAAAAGCGTCTAGAATTACAAACTTATTTATTGCAAAAAAAAATATATATATATATATATATATATATATATATATATATATATATATATATATATATATATATATTTTAGATCTTTTTTAGAAAATGAGGGCAGTTTTGCCTTTAGAGTATTGCAGAATTCTCAATGGGGTCCAATTTTAAGTTTCGCGATAAGAATTCTAGTTAAAAGGTTTATATCTTGAGGCCCACTACGAAAAAAGATGCGCCGCCGCGGCACAAAAATAACTTGGTTGCCTTGTAATGATGAAACATGAGTTGGACGAAGTCTTTATCTGAAAAGTGCATTACAAATTTGGGACTAGAGAGAAAATGCAATCATACTATCTATCTTTTAGCCAGGCTTGTTCTTCTAATTCTTATCTAAACGTTAACCTCAGAATAGTTCTTTGCCGCTCAGATTCGTGAGATTGCTCTTAAATGTCGAAAATTTTCACCAAAATTTAACTGGCTCATCAATTAGATTAATTGATAAGTCTCCTGAAGATGCTATTGGGAAGTTCACATTTAGAGCCAAGTGTCGCTTCTTTCGCATTTTGGCCACTTAGCAATTTAGAAAGAGAGGTGCTCCAGAAATTAAGTCTATTGTTGGGAATACAATAAAATTAAGAGACTCAAATTAAAGAGACCGACAATTTCTTAACATGAATGGCATTTCGAGGCAAAGTTAATTTTGAATCCGTTTACAATATGGACTGGCATGGGCTAGCTTTCTAATCAAATTCGAGGAACAGCTTAGATGCTGGCCCCTTCCCAAGTGCATACACCGTCTTAAAAACAAATTTATTTGATGATTAAATTAAATAACTTTGTTGAAGTCTTTTCGTTGTTTTCAAACACTGCCATATGACAAGTTGAAGGCCAAAAGTTCAAGTTAATTGATATTAATCATTTATCCTTTTTGGGTAACTTTCAGAGGAAAGAATGAAATCTGTATTCATATTTTCCCAAAAGAAAAAGGTGTCTCCAAGACAATGTTGACATTTATCTTATTTAATTATTACCTTTTAAGCAAAAATTTCCAGAAAAATGTCATTACTTACAAATGTGCTTTTGTTTTTATTTCAGATACTTCCTCAAGTTTTTCCTCAAGTGCAATCAGAACTGTCTGAAGAATGCGGGCAACCCACGTGACATGCGTAGATTCCAGGTGGTTCTCAGCAGCACTCCAAACGTCGACGGTCACGTGCTTGCAGTCAGTGACAACATGTTTGTTCACAACAACAGCAAACACGGGCGGAGGACGCGGAGACTGGACCCATCGGAGGGTGAGTGCGGGGCGGGTGGCGGCGGTGGAGTCGGCGGGCTCGCGGCACTCTCCGGCGGGGGCGGAGGAGGACACCCCCACCACAACGCACTAGCGGCACACCACCCCTCAAAACTGTCCCCTAATGATGCATGTTAGTTTGTACTCGTTACACTACTACTCCCTTTAACCTCATTTTCTAACTCTTCTTTATTCGAATACTTTCTGGTTAGTCGAATCAAAAATCGTTTTTAACTCGAATTGCATTGAATCATCAAAACCAATATGATTAAAAGGTCTGAGCTGATATTTTTTCAACAATTTAAACCATATGTTAACTTATAATTTACCTGAAAAAAAATTTACTTTGACCGGCTTCAGGTAAACTCACCCTGACTTTATTGTGTACCACTTCATGTACTTTCCCTAATCAGAATTGTTTACTTGTTTTCATGGAACTGCACAAAAATTACATCATATCACTGTCATTTTCAATTAACTCATTTCTGCACTATGAACATAAACTGAAAGCACTGGAGAACTATAAAAAATCTGAGCTCAACCGTAAATCCCTTTGCGAATGATTCGGTTGGGCACTTATGCACAATTAGCTCAGCAGTCCAAAATACAACAATCAGAATACACATCATTTGGGACATCCATGTCTATACTTAAAGTGTGTACATGTAATGTAATCTATGTGTATTTGGGACCCGTGTTGGATTTGGAAGAAGTATACAGGGGGACATTGGAATGTATAAATTAGGGGATTTGTGTGTAATGGAGCGTGCAAGGGGTAGCACATGAGAGTATAGAGTATGGGCTACTACGGGGCTGAGGGGAGATCAGGTGTGGGTACTTGAAATTGGTTCCATAAAAGTTAATCCAATCAAATCTGCCCATTACTCAATCTTCAAATCTCAACTGACAACATACACCCTCTTTTTCACTACAAGTTCTTCTGCCCAGTCTTACGCAGTCTTATTTTCACAATATTTTCAACATCTTTCCACATGCACTACACTATGTACTGGACATAACACGAAGACGTTTAAACCCTAGACCTGTTTAGCAATAGCCTACATGTTATGAATTATAAACATTAATTTGCTCAAAAATTACTCTTAACTAGGAAACTGTGAACTAATTTACGATGATAAATTGTGATACATTGAGAAAACTATTTCGCTCGATATTCTAACCGGGAAAAGCGTTGACCCGATCTAAATACTAAGCAAGACAGCTCGTATGTGCGATTCCCTCAGCTGAATGTATGTTGCGACGAACCTTTAAAGTCAGCGAAATGCTTTTTTAAATGACAAAATACATGCGTTAGTTGACGCAATTGGCAATTTTCAAGCCCCCCTTAATTTACAATAAATATCCACAAATGAATTAGCTTTTTTAAATTGAGCTCAACGCGTCAATACCTTGCAGATGACACAAAAATTCTAAGGGAAAAAACCACATCGAGCACAAATATTCCGTCACATTTTTCGAAAGTCGGGACAAAAATTTCGACTATCATAAACAGAACAATTTCTATTTGAAACATGACATCTTCGGAGAAAAAACTGTCTGAAGCGCCGTACGCAAATAGACAACGATATTAGTTCGATTTTCTGAAAACCGATTTATATTTTAGCTGCGACACCATGCATCAAAGCAATCTCCCCCAGCGAAGGGTGGACTACGGGAGGATCCACGGTCATCATAGTCGGCGACAACTTCTTCGACGGACTCCAGGTGGTCTTTGGAACCATGATAGTCTGGAGTGAACTGGTCACCCCACATGCAATCCGGGTGCAAACCCCACCCAGACACATTCCGGGGGTCGTTGAGGTAACACTGAGCTACAAGAGCAAACAGTTCTGCAAGGGCGCGCCAGGCAGATTTGTATATACAGGTACCACAATACTTCAATTAAACAAACATCCCAAAAAACCAGATAAAGCCACTACACGCTGAAAAATTTCTCCTCAGTACCCGCAATAGTAAATTATTTGAATGACATCAGATTAACGTTCTCTATCCATTGGATCAAATAATCGCTTTATAATCAAAACTACTACTGATTTTCCAGATTTATGCTAGTTTCAGGAGCACTCAATATTGAAACCCTCAGTCTATTTCATTTTTTGCAGCGTTGAGTGAGCCGACGATAGATTTCGGGTTCCAGCGTCTGTCACGCCTCATTCCTCGTCACCCGGGAGACCCCGAGAAGATCCCAAAAGAAGTGATTCTGAAGCGCGCGGCTGACTTGGCAGAGGCACTGTACTCCATGACTCGCAATCAGAATCCTCTGGCCGCCCTACCCCCCACACATCACACCAACATGGTCAGCTACTTCGAAGACACAGTCAATGATCACACGCAGTACTCGTTAGGTGAGTTACTCAACAATAAAGCATTCAAACTGGTTCCGGTTCCCATCAAAGTATTTTCTGCATAAAAAAGCCGCGCAATTTTTCACGAAATAACCATTTGAAATGATTGTGATTTGGTGCCGATTTCGAGAAAACCGGAAAAACGCTAGGAGTAATTTTTAAGCTGAGAAAAAAGTTTGAAAGGAAACGTTCACTGTGCGTGAAAACCATCACTTAATGAAATAATAAATTAAAAATAGATTTTCTTATTTAGCTGAAACCTGGGCTAAACATTTTTTATCCTAGCTAATTCTTGTCAATTTAAAATTGGACGTTGCATTGAATCAGGTGGCTTTTATGCAGGCTTCGGCAAGAACACCAACCTCCTGTCACCCCGTGGATATGGGCCAGGAGCGATGGGTGTGAACGGATCCACCCCTGGCAACGCCTATTCCACCATGAACAATGCAGCCGCCGCCACTCTGGGCATGAACAGTTATCACAATGGGGCAGCCATGAATCCACAGGCTGCATTCCTCAACCCTGCCGCCCACTCATGTAAGTTAGAATCGAATAGGAAAACATTCATTTTCTCGATTCCTTTCGCAAACAAATGAGTTTCTGGATTCGTCAGATGATGAAAGCAAAATCAAAATATGTCAAAACTAAAAAATGGGCATGACCTCGACTGAACAACCAAGTCAAGGCCTCTAGAGGCTTTTCCGACTCGATTAAAATTACAAAACCAAGTCAAGTCCATTTGTGCTGGTTCGATGCAGTTAAAGCGACCCGTGTAAAATTAGATTCTATTCTTTTTGAGTTTTGCAGAAAGGCATAATCTTTTTTTTTCTGCTTCATCAATAGCAGAAGACGTCTTAGTTTAAATACCCTTAATACTTTGTCGATTAGTTGATTTTGATCACTAAAGTTATAAGTGATTGTTTCAGTTGGGATGACCGGCTCCCCTCCCGCCCTGCAGTCTCATCACATGGCAGGGGGACACCACACTCCAGGCATATTCTCATTTTCACCCGCAAACATGATCAACGCCGTCAAACAAAAGTCCGCATTCGCCCCTTCGCGACAAAACTCCTCGCCTGTTTTACAGGCCTCCTGAACTTCATTTGAGTTTTGAAACAGTCTTTACAATAATCCACTTAATTTGTTCATCTTTTATGTTCATCCTTTCCACGAAATTCAAGAGGGTTTTTGAATTTTGTCGCTTAGATAGATTTGATATATTTGTTAGATGCCTACCCATTTTGAATTCTTTTCAATTTTTAATGTTTGTATATTATTAACATATCTCTAAAACTGAATTTACAAATTTTTATGTTGAACAGTTTTACTCACAATTTTATGGATAATTTCAAATTACATATGAATCAAATGAGCCTGAGTTGGATCAGATACACGCTAGGTGTGTTTCAATTTTTTGTCAAACCATTTTCTTAAGTTGATCAGATCAATATTTCGAGCCTCCACCTTCGGTGCTGTACGCTACATGTGTAGAAAAAGTGCCAAATATCCTCGTCTTTTGGACCAACTTTTGACAAAAAAAGTTTATATCGTCATCTCATCAATCTGGCGCCATAGGTCCCTTTAAGCAACTTTACAGGTCAAATTGAAGGTGACAATTATAATATTTTAGACCAAGGCGAAATGGCAGTTCGCAAACAAACACCAGCGAGAAAACGGCAAAAAGTAACCCTAAAAAGCTTCAAAAAAGCGAAAACAGGAAAAAAGACTAGCCACTAATAAAGCAGATACAATAGATGCTATTTAATTGACAGTGCTATCAAATTGCCACCGGCTCAGCAGTTTTATTTTTGAGTTCGGTTAGAAAAACGAGAATGCGTAAAACGACCCGGAGCTCGCAAGTCGGTTTGTGTAAAAACATTTCAGTTAGAACCTAAAACATGCAAAAAAATTTTGGCAACACAAACTCCGTTTATTCTTTCTCATATCCAACAGATGAAAATTCTAAGAAAACCGAGATCCAAAAGTTCTTAAATATGCTCAAAAATTTGCTTAAAATCTTGCAACCAACTATAAACCTGCATATCAAACAAAAAAAATGGATATAAACATCAACAGAAAAAATCAAAAACATCAAATTTAACATCAAAAGTTGCTATAAATTAAGATAACAATGAAAAAAAAATAAATGAATAAGAAAACAAAAACACAAAAAAAAATGTTAAAGCTTCCAACAATTTCTTCAAAACATTAGCAGAAAATCTAGAAAAACCCAATTACATCAAACTTTAAGAAAGTTGATACGCAACGTTAAGCGAACTGAATGCCAAAAACAGATAACAATGAAAAAGATAAAAATATCCGCAAAGGCAACAAAAAACACGTAGACAAAGATATTAGTTTGCAGTTTGTTTTCTGGAAACCTATTTATATTTAAGCTGCGACACCATGCATCAAAGCAATCTCCCCAGCGAAGGGTGGACTACGGGAGGATCCACGGTCATCATAGTCGGCGACAACTTCTTCGACGGACTCCAGGTGGTCTTTGGAACCATGATAGTCTGGAGTGAACTGGTCACCCCACATGCAATCCGGGTGCAAACCCCACCCAGACACATTCCGGGGGTGGTTGAGGTAACACTGAGCTACAAGAGCAAACAGTTCTGCAAGGGCGCGCCAGGCAGATTTGTATATACAGGTACCACAATAATTCAATTAAAAAAACATCCCAAAAAACCAGATAAAGCCACTACACGCTGAAAAATTTCTCCGAATCAGATTAACGTTCTCTATCCATTGGATCAAATAATCGCTGAATAATCAAAACTACTACTGATTTTGCAGATTTATGCTAGTTTCAGGAGCACTCAATACTGAAACACTCAGTCTATTTCATTTCTTTGCAGCGTTGAGTGAGCCGACGATAGATTTCGGGTTCCAGCGTCTGTCACGCCTCATTCCTCGTCACCCGGGAGACCCCGAGAAGATCCCAAAAGAAGTAATTCTGAAGCGCGCGGCTGACTTGGCAGAGGCACTGTACTCCATGACTCGCAATCAGAATCCTCTGGCCGCCCTACCCCCCACACATCACACCAACATGGTCAGCTACTTCGAAGACACAGTCAATGATCACACGCAGTACTCGTTAGGTGAGTTACTCAACAATTAAGCATTCAAACTGGTTCCGGTTCCAATCAAATTATTTTCTGCATAAAAAAGCCGCGCAATTTTTCACGAAATAACCATTTGAAATTATTGTGATTTGGTGCCGATTTCGAGAAAACCGGAAAAACGCTAGGAGTAATTTTTAAGCCGAGAAAAAAGTTTGAAAAGAAACGTTCACTGTGCGTGAAAACCAGCACTTAATGAAATAATAAACTAAAAATAGATTTTCTTATTTAGCTGAAACCTGGGCTAAACATTTTTATCCTAGCTAATTCTTGTCAATTTAAACTTGGACGTTGCATTGAATCAGGTGGCTTTTATGCAGGCTTCGGCAAGAACACGAACCTCCTGTCACCCCGTGGATATGGGCCAGGAGCGATGGGTGTGAACGGATCTACCCCTGGCAACGCCTATTCCACCATGAACAATGCAGCCGCCGCCACTCTGGGCATGAACAGTTATCACAATGGGGCAGCCATGAATCCACAGGCTGCATTCCTCAACCCTGCCGCCCACTCATGTAAGTTAGAATCGAATAGGAAAACATTCATTTTCTCGACTCCTTTTGCAAACAAACGAGTTTCTGGATTCGTCAGATGATGAAAGCAAAACCAAAAATTGTCAAAACTAAAAAATGGGCATGACCTCGACTGAACAACCAAGTCAAGGCCTCTAGAGGCTTTTCCGACTCGATTAAAATCTCATTACAAAACCGAGTCAAGTCCATTTGTGCTGGTTCGATGCAGTTAAAGCGACCCGTGTAAATTTAGATTCTATTCTTTTTGAGTTTTGCAGAAAGGCATAATCTTTTTTTTTCTGCTTCATCAATAGCAGAAGACGTCTTAGTTTAAATACCTTTAATATTTTGTCGATTAGTTGATTTTGATCACTAAAGTTATAAGTGATTGTTTCAGTTGGGATGACCGGCTCCCCTCCCGCCCTGCAGTCTCATCACATGGCAGGGGGACACCACACTCCAGGCATATTCTCATTTTCACCCGCAAACATGATCAACGCCGTCAAACAAAAGTCCGCATTCGCCCCTTCGCGACAAAACTCCTCGCCTGTTTTACAGGCCTCCTGAACTTCATTTGAGTTTTGAAACAGTCTTTACAAATAATCCACTTAATTTGTTCATCTTTTATGTTCATCCTTTCCACGAAATTCAAGAGGGTTTTTGAATTTTGTCGCTTAGATAGATTTGATATATTTGTTAGATGCCTACCCATTTTGAATTCTTTTCAATTTTTAATGTTTGTATATTATTAACATATCTCTAAAACTGAATTTACAAATTTTTATGTTGAACAGTTTTACTCACAATTTTATGGATAATTTCAAATTACATATGAATCAAATGAGCCTGAGTTGGATCAGATACACGCTAGGTGTGTTTCAATTTTTTGTCAAACCATTTTCTTAAGTTGATCAGATCAATATTTCGAGCCTCCACCTTCGGTGCTGTACGCTACATGTGTAGAAAAAGTGCCAAATATCCTCGTCTTTTGGACCAACTTTTGACAAAAAAAGTTTATATCGTCATCTCATCAATCTGGCGCCATAGGGCCCTTTAAGCAACTTTACAGGTCAAATTGAAGGTGACAATTATAATATTTTAGACCAAGGCGAAATGGCAGTTCGCAAACAAACACCAGCGAGAAAACGGCAAAAATTAACCCTAAAAAGCTTCAAAAAAGCGAAAACAGGAAAAAAGACTAGCCACTAATAAAGCAGATACAATAGATGCTATTTAATTGACAGTGCTATCAAATTGCCACCGGCTCAGCAGTTTTATTTTTGAGTTCGGTTAGAAAAACGAGAATGCGTAAAACGACCCAGAACTCGCAAGTCGGTTTGTGTAAAAACATTTCAGTTAGAACCTAAAACATGCAAAAAAATTTTGGCAACACAAACTCCGTTTATTCTTTCTCATATCCAACAGATGAAAATTCTAAGAAAACCGAGATCCAAAAGTTCTTAAATATGCTCAAAAATTTGCTTAAAATTTTGCAACCAACTATAAACCTGCATATCAAACAAAAAAAATGGATATAAACATCAACAGAAAAAATCAAAAACATCAAATTTAACATCAAAAGTTGCTATAAATTAAGATAACAATGAAAAAAAAATAAATGAATAAGAAAACAAAAACACAAAAAAAAATGTTAAAGCTTCCAACAATTTCTTCAAAACATTAGCAGAAAATCTAGAAAAACCCAATTACATCAAACTTTAAAAAAGTTGATACGCAACGTTAAGCGAACTGAATGCCAAAAACAGATAACAATGAAAAAGACAAAAATATCCGCAAAGGCAACAAAAAACACGTAACTTCATTTTTTCTCCAGTAATTTCAGCCGAAAAATCCACTTCTGAATCTCTTGCGACACTCGCCATACATCTTCGTAGACAAATCAAGTCAAAACTTCAAAAAATCAAAGAAACAACTTAGTATTGTATGATCTTTTTCAGCATGAATTTTTGACATATGAAAACAAAACTCTATGGCATCAAATTGAATCGCAAAAAATCATTCAATCCTAAAACACACCCTAAAAATTAAACAGAAGCAAAGCTAAGCTTTGCACCATTTGCAATGCAAAAATGAACGATTCTAAATGAAAACAATTAAAAAAATTTATCAAAAAATTTACAATATTCGAAAAACAATATTCAAAAAATCGATTCTTTTTTCACAAAAAATTTGCAAAGAAAGCCAGAAATATTTGGTAACAAAAAAGGAATACAATTATAAACTTTACTTGTATCATTGTGAATGCTATGATACAAGTAAATCACAATTATAAACTTTACTTGTATCATTGTGAATGCTATCCTCAAGTGTTCTATTCTCAAAAAAGTTTTTTCTGCGGAAACTAGGCGGACAAAAGTAATCAGACAGACGATAGTCTAATGTAGGCAAAACTTTTCAGTTCACAAAAAAAGTTTAGACTGGAATTGAACTCTGGAGCTTTTAAGTCTCAAGTATGAGTGAAACCACTGCATAAAGTGAGCAAAAAACTTAAATTTATAAGCCGAACAATTTTCAATTATAGTAGAATCGTTTTAAAATTGAAAACAAATCCATGCATTGAAAAAAAAAGATAATACTAAACTACCAGATTACATATC